GGGCCCGGGGCCCGCGGGCGGCTTCCTCAGCAGCCTCTTCCGAAGGACCTGAGGGCCTGGCCGCGCGCGCTCTCTCTGGCTCCCTTTCCGCTTCCGCCTCGCGGAGCCGCAGGACCGGGACTGTCTTTCAAAGGGGGCTGGCGGCCGGCCGTGGACTTACTAGGGACAGGGGCCAGCTTTGAGGGCCACAGGCCCCAGGTGGGTGGCGGGGGCCGGTGGGGCAGAGCTGTCTGTTTCTCCAGTCTGTATAGGTCTGTCCTTCCCGGGCACTGTGCCCCTGGCGTGCCCCAGGCCAGGGCTGGGAGAGGGTATTCATGTATCAAGACGGGACAGAGTAATATATAAAGCCTTACGCCAACCTGGCCTCCTTCCTTGAGAAGAAAGCACCAGGAAGGAAAGCCTGACGTTTTATTAGTAAACAAAGACTCCGCGCCAGCCGGGGAGGTCTCGAGGTCAGAAGGACAGGGAGAAGGCTCGGTAGCCCAGGTTGGTGAAGACATCCACGCGGCAGCTGTTGCCCGCGGCAGTCAGGACCTGGAGGCAGGAAGCGGGGGTGACCTGCTGCCCACACACCTGGCCTCCCAGGAGCGGTGCGGCCCCTGGCCAGACCCACCTTGCACTCGGGGGCTGCTGGCTGCTGGTTGAGACTGAGGCTGAGCAGGCCTGGGGAGGAGCCGGGCACCTGGGCCTTGAGCTCCCCACTCAGCTGCCACTGGTTGACACAGCGGCCCTGGCCGGCTGACAGGATCTGTGGAGGGTTGACAGGAGGCGCAGGGGTCAGGCTGGAGAGGGGAGCTCACAGGGGTGGCAGAGGAGACAGCAGGCCTCACCAGGTCCTGGTAGAAGGTGACGTGCTTCTGAGGTGCCCGCATGGGGAAGATGGTGGTGGGCGTGGAGGAACGGAGATGCCAGAGCGTGAGTGCCGGGCCCCCGCCGCAGACCTAGGCAGAAGTGGTCCCCAGCTGCAGTGAGCACAGGCCCTGCTGCAGCACCGGGCTGTCGCCTGCCCATCTCTGCCCAGCTTACCATCCAGTCCGAGTCAGTGGCCAAACACCCGATCCAGCGCCCGTTGTGGGGCCTCGAGCACTCCTGGGGGGAGAAGGAAGAGGTGAAGATGCAGAGGCCCCAGCAGGCGGGCGTGGTGGGGCTGTGTGGAGTGGGCCCTCACCTCATGCTTGTAGACCTCGATTGTCTGGACCTCCTTGGCCGTGCGGAGGTCTGTGGGGAGAGAACTGCAGGCTCACCCTCCGCGCCCAGCCTCCCTCACCGTCGTCCCTTCCCCGACAGGCCATGCCTTTACCCCAAAGCCGCACGGCCCCATCCTCGCCGCCCGACAGCACCTCGGGGCTCCGCTCCCGCAGTGCCAGGCAGTGGATGTAGTCTGTGTGGCCACGGAGGGCCCGCTGCCGGGAGAAGCCAGTGTCAGGACCAGTCCGGGAAGAATGCTCCCTCCGCTGCCCTGCCACCCTGCCCCCAGCCCTCCGCACCGTGAAGGTCCCAGTTTCAAGGTCCATAGTGTGCAGCTGGCAGTCGCCCCCAGCAAGGATGAGGGCGTTCTCCTGCGGAGGAAGGTGGGGTAGGGTCAGGAGTCAGGGTAGCGACTGGACCCCGGACGGGTCCCTGCCCAACCCTTCCCCTTGCTTTGGGCCAAGAACAGGACAGGGTGGAGCCCCAGTCACAAGGGACGAAGACCTTGGGGACGAGAAGCAAAGCATTGATCTCAGGCACTTCCAGGCTGGTCCTGTGGGGGAGGGGGGCAGGGTCAGCTTCGGAGAGGACGCGGCTTCACCCGGGTGCCCTCGACTGTGTGTGGCCTGGCTCACCTGTATGGGGGCTGACGACGCCACAGCTCCTTACAGCCCTAGGGGAGGGAAACACTGGGTGACTCGGGCCCTCCTGGGGCCGCAGTCCCGCCCCGCCCTGTCCCGCCCCCTCCGCACGCCACCTTCTTGATGATCTCTGCCCACAGCCAGGCCTTCACCTCCCCGTCGCCAGCACTAAGCAGATGCCTGTCAGTAGAGACCATGCTGTAGACGGGTCCATCGTGGGCTAAAGAGAAGTGCAGACCTGGTGACCCACGCGTTCCCCTCCTCTACGGGGGGAGGGGAGAGGGGGGCTATGCCAGACTTGGAGGCTGTACCCACCTAGAAAGGTCACCACCGGCTTCTTACTTTCCTCTTTGGCCTCGGAGCTCAGGGCGGCAGACAAACTGAAGGGACAGTCAGGGGCATTGGTCCCAGGGGACAGAGTGCCAGGCTGATGGGTATGGGGGTGAGCATACCTGAAGATGGCTATCTGCCCGTAGTTGTTGCCAGCCGCCAGGAACTTCCCGCAGGGTGAGACGTTCTGGCAGAAAATGGTCATGTGCAGCCTCTGCAGGGCCTGAAACACTTCCAGCTGTTGGGGGGTAGGCTGGATGAGGCTGTGCGGAGGGTGGGGGCGCACCCAGACCCCCTCCTGCTTCCCCTGCCGTCAGTCCTGACGCTTCTGCCCTTCACTGGGGCGGCCCACCAAACAGGCCCCTGCTCATGGCTCCCTGGCTGGCTCCAGGCGGAGGAGGGAGTGGGGTGGAGGCGTGGTGCCGCGGGAGTCCGCGAGCAGGCACCCCGTGCCAACCTTCGAATGGACTCCCAAGTGCCACCAATGGGTGAGCAGCTGCAAAGACAAGGCGCTCCGACAGGGCTACCACGTAGAAAGTGCACTGCGAAAGTGGCTCTTAGCTCATGCAGAAAACGCACTGGCTTCCGTGGTAGGCCCCTGGGTGGGAGTCGAAGTACTACCGCCCGCTCAGGAGAAACAAGGCTCAGAGCCCTGTTTTCTGCCCGCCCCTGCCGAGCCGGGCGGGGACTACAAGCCCCAGAAGGCACCGCGCACCCCGCCGGCTCACCTGACCCAGGGGCACCGCGGGAGGCACAGCGCGTTCCATCTCGAGAACTTCAAGTCCCAGAGTGCTCTGCGCACGACGCAATCTCACGAGTCCGGACGTGCCGCGAGCGGCTCTGCTCGTCGGAGGCTCACCGAATCAAGGCCGCCGGCCGGCTTGGCGAAAGGGCGGCCGCCGCAAACCACCGAAGCCCCAGGAACCGACCGAAGTGAGCGCCGCGAAGACCCCCGATACTAAGCCGCTCCCACCGCAGCCCCGCTACGCCGAATCCCCTCCCCCCACTTGGCGTAGCCGACCCGCCTTCCAGCCGCACGCCGTCTGTCTCTGCGCTTGCGCGGAGCCCCGTCGCGCCGTCGCTGCGCGCGCCTACGGCCACGCCCCTCGCGTGGGCCACGCCCTCAAGGCTCCGCCCCTGTCCCCAGGATCCCACCCCTCTTCTCGTAGGACCCTGAGTCCCGATGATCCTGCAGCCGCCCCTGGAGCGAGGCCCGCCGGATCGGGCCCAGCGCGACCCGCGGGCCGCCTCGGGGCCGCCCCGAGGCCTGGACGCTAGGTGTGTAGGGGTCCCCGGGTGGGCCGAGCCCAGGCGCGCCCGAGCTTTGGCCTGGAGCCCAGGGCTGGTCTGCAGGGTGGCACGTGTGGGGCGCGGTGAGCTGAGACCTGGACAGGGACTAGGGGCCGAGACTTCGGAGGCAAGCTGCTGGATGGTCCTGGAGAGGAGGGTGATGTAGACGTCAGCTGGGAAGGGATGGCCTGGGGGCTTCTTCCCCAGGCTGCCAGCTCAGGTGGGCAGATTCCGGGATGAGGGTGGGGTGCACCTGGCTCTCTCTTCTTCCCAGCTCTCCTCCCCGAGGAGCTGTGCCCATGAGCACCAAGCGGCGCCTGGAGGAGGAGCAGTGAGTTCGGGCAGGGAGGGACTCCCAGCAAGCCCCTCTCACGCCAGGACGCCCTGTCCCCCTGTATCCTTTCTGAGTACCTTAGCCTGTCTCTCCCCAGGGAACCCCTTCGAAAGCAGTTCCTGTCCGAGGAGAACATGGCCAGCCACTTCTCGCGCCTCAGCCTGCACAATGACCACCCGTACTGCAGCCCCCCTGTGGCTTTCCCCTCAGCTCTGCCTCCACTCAGGTAGGCACCATCGGCAGCTGGGAGCCTCCACCAGGCCATGCCTCACCCCGCTATTTTTAGCTTCTAGCCACCCTGGCCTTGTTTGCCTGCCTTGGCTCCTTGGAGGGTGCCGGCAACCCTGAGCCCTGGGGACTTGGGCCTGGCAGGAGGGGGCTCTGCCAGGCCGGCCTCAGTCCTATCGTTTCTTCTTCCAGAAGCCCTTGCTCTGAGCTGCTTCTCTGGCGCTACCCTGGGAACCTGATCCCTGAGGCTCTCCGGCTGCTGAGACTGGGGGACACCCCCGAGCCCCACTATCATGCAACACTAGCTGGGGACATAATGGAGCTCTGAGGGCTGGCAGCACCCCCTGCCTGCCTACCTTCCCCTTGACGGAGACCAGCACCCTCATGAAGGACCAACTGCCCTGCTTAGCCCATTCCGGCCTCTGGGCACCAGGACCCTCCCCAGTAGAGGACTTGGAGCCCAGCCAGAAGGTGCCCTGGGTGGGAGGGGAGGCGCCCCCACCAGAACTGAATAAAGGTTGCTGAGCTTTATCTGGGGCCTTTGGGAAAGGCAGGAGGGCTGGGTGCAGGATGCCGGGGCTTCTCACATCTTCCCTGGAAATCGGTCAAGGCCGGCCAGGTCCTGGCAGGCTGGGCTCAGGCATTGAGAATGTGTGAGTCAGAGCCTCGCCCCCGCCCCCGCGCTGACTCACCCCCCCCCCAGCTCTGGGAAGCCAGGCTCCATCCTCGCCCCTCTAATCCATTTAAAGTTAAAGACTCTTTTTTATTAATAAATTCTCCCTCCCCTCCAAACTCTCTCCCCAAATAAATATCTCTCCCCCTTTTGAGGATGGGGGCAGTGTCTTCGGCCAGCCCCCTAGAGGGCCAGCCCCCTAGCGTTAGGAACAGGTCCCTGACCCCCCCAGGCTGGGACCCCCATAGTGAAATGTCAGCACGTCAGAATGGGTGGGGCCAGCTTGTCTGTCCCTAGGTCAGTCTGGCCCCCAGGGTTTGCGGGGTGGGGGACCCCCTTGTGCAAATGCTGCAGTTCCTTAGTGTCCACGGTGGTGTCAGCCAGCATGGGTCTCTTCTGTCCCGAAGCCAGAGACACCTTGGCCGGCGTCTGAAGCCGGCGGGAGCGCTGTGATTCACCCGCCCCTGCCCCCACACCCTGTGGTGGGGCTCCCGCTGTGTCTGGGAGGCAGGGCCGGCTCCAGGGTGAATGAGTGAGCTAGTGAGTGGGGCGCCTTCCGCTGGCAGGGGCCGCTCGGTCACTGGATCAGCGCCACGCCAGGGCAGCCCTCCCCACCGGTCTCCTCGATGGGGGCTGCAAGACACCAAGAGGGGTCGTCAAGTGGGGAGACATGGAGGGCTGATGGGGCGGGCGGGGTGGGGCGGGACACACTTACTGGTAAACTTTTCTCTCCTGCGGCACCGTTTCCAGACCAGGAAGCCGGAAACCAGCCCCAGAACCAGGGCCAGTCCCAGGGCGCCCCCCAAGATGGGCCACAGCAGCCGGAAGGGGGACGGGGGCGCCGCAGCGCCTGCGGGCGGGACTCGAAGTCAGACCTCGCCCCCCCTGCCCAGCCCCTCCCCACCCGAGCCGCCGGCTTCCCCCACCGTGGTCCCCACCCTCAAGGAGCCGTCTCCCCACTCCCACCGCCTCCCCCAGTAATTCCCGAGGTCCAAAGCCCACCGCCCCGCCCGGCCCCCCCAGCCCCCCCCCGTCGGGTCAGCCCGCCGCCGAGCCGCCCCCACTCACAGCCCAGACAGAAGTCGCTGTGTGGCCGCGCCGGGCACGACGCGCAATCCATGCACTTGTCGAGGTCCGCGCTCCAGGAGCTGCCGCGGGAGCAGGGGGTGGTGCCTGGGGAGGGGGCCGCGGGTCAGGCTGGGGGCGGGGCGCGGCTATTCTGGGGGCTGAGGTCAGGGTCGACCGGCTCGAATAACGTGAGTCACTGGCATTCCTCACAGGTGACCGCACGACCCGACAGGGACACGGCAGCACAGGGGGAGGGGGGCGTAGCGCGGGACGCTGAATGGGGGGGTCAGGTCCCCGCAATCCCCCCGCCGCCGGCGGGTGACTCACTCCTGGGCACCGAGCCCGACTCCGGTCTCTCCACCCCCCCCCCCACGCATAGCTGGGCACTGAAGTCACCGGATGGAAGGGCACCCCACATGGTATAGGGGGCACAGACCCCCATGCCTCCCAACACCCACCCCCAGACTCTCGTCACTGGCACTGGGTGGACCTGACTTTGAGCAGGCGGGGGCGTGCCTTTTACTGGCCCACACAGCCCGCCTCAGACTTTCTCCACTTCCGAGTCGGGACTTTCAGGACAGTAACCCCCTCACCCCGCAACTGGACAGGGGGAGCTGAGGCCCAGGCTGAGGATAAAGCGCAGACTGAGATGGGGCCTCCCCTGTCCAGCAGTCTCAGTGTCTGAAGACC